GGCAGCGGATTGAGAATGCGCAAACAGCGCACCGCGAAAGCGTTTGCTTTCCAAGGTGGAGATGGCGGTGGTGGCGCTTGAGCAGCCTACTCTTGCCACATCGAGGTCCTCTGCTCCATGCTGTGGCATGTTGCGCCTCTCTGTCGACTTTGCACGTTCGAATTCCGCCTCGCCTCCTGCCTATTGCCTCTAATTCTGCCAAGATTTGCCCCCAATCATCTTGACATCGCTCCGCACGCCGCCACAATGTAGCTCCTTCACTTCAGCGTTTTAAAAAATCATCTTCTCGCTCTCCCCTACACTCATCCCACTACGTTCCTGGCACCCCCCTTGTTCTTTCCCGCCCTTTCCCCCTCATGAACCAACTATCCTTGCGCCCTGTCGGGCACGGGGCCTTTCTAGCGCGGGCGCGCTTCCCGATGAACAAATAGAAATAAAGAATCGTCTCTAGGAGGATCATCTGCTTGGTCTGCGTTCGTCTTGCTTCCTCTCACTCAGCGAGGCGCGACGCGACGCAGGTCGATCAAACGAATTGGCCGGCAAGATGCTGCGTGTGGGTTGAATCGGATCGGACAGCTCTTCGCTAATGTTCCGATATCAGCTGTCGGCGTGAGCGCGAACACGAAAAGTGTGCGCGACAAAGACGACTGACTTCAAATGGTCTCGATTCTTGATTGGTTCTATGCAGCGCTCACCTCCCAACTACAGCGTCTCGTGAGCCTGCAACGAGCCGAGCATCGCTTCAATTTTCTGAATTCGCCTAGTCCACGCGTTGCCATGCTGGCCCCTAGACAAGCTCGCAAGCACTCCCCCCCCGTGTCTCACCTTCAAGAGTTGAGAGAAGCACAACAACAAAAAAAGGAAAAATGTGGGTGATTGAAAAGATTGATCTCACTACGTGCACAACTACTGGTCCACGGAGCGTATTCTTAAGACGAGAAACAAAAGCGTCATGCTCTTCTTCCAGCTTCGTCATTGTCGTCCCTAGAGAGAGTGGGGAGGCCATCTGGCCCAGGGCGTGCTTTTCCCAATTTTTGACTGGGCGCAACGCTTGCGCACGCGCGGATCAGGGCTCAGAGATGAAGGTAAACTCTCCGAACCAGGTGCCGTCGACGGTGTGTGCGCCTGCCGAAGCCGAGTCGGACTTGTAGCTCTCTGGCAGGGTCAAGTTGAGCTTCGCGGGCAGGAAGGACTGCAACGTGGGATGGGCGAAAGGGGCCGGACGAAAGCAGCACGACGCGTGAGCCAAATTTGGCGTGTCAATATCGGCAAATCAAGCGGCACGCTCTTTGTCTCCTTTGCACACTCACCTGCCAGATGTAGGGCTTTGTTCCTGCGACGTAGTTGACCACTTTGCGCACCATGGCCGGCATCTCACCTAACACGTCCACCCGCTCAATCAATCCCTTCCCAGCCGAAATATCCGCAGTCAAATCGGCGCGCACCTTTTCGCTCTGCGGCTTCCCAGCAACGAGCAGCGGACCATCCCACACAAAGTGCAGCTGCTCGGGGATGGTGTAGCCCGTCTCTGCATCGTGCTTCACTTTTTGATGTTCCACCTGCGTATCGCTGTTGCCAGGCGCTGCGGTCTTGCCGTGACGCGTCCCAGCAGTCACCGCCACCAGCTCATCCCCAACGCTGATGCTGCCAATGGTCACTGTGCGCGTCTCTCTGGTCCTGTTCGGCTGACCTCCTTGTTGTGAGATTTGAGAGCCCGACTTTGGCGTACCGCTGCCCACCGGTCCTCCATAATCGCTCGTCGTTGTAAACTCCATGGATATAGCAGCTACTCCTGCCAGATCTTCGCTCTGGAAATTCGCAAAGTTCCACCTGGACGCGACCAGGTTGGGTCTCATACCTTGAATGGCGTGAATGAACATACCTTGACCCTTTGCGTCGATCGCTTGACCCTTGATGAGGATGTGACCCGTGGTGGAAGTTCTGGGCCAAAAGCGATGGATGACGTAGCCATCAGGATTGGCAGCGTTGGAACCGAAAAAGCTCTTTCCTCCCTCCGGTCCAGCACCCAACTTCCAACCGGCATGCTTGGCGCTCTTTGTAAAAGTGTAGCTCAATTGCACCTCTGCGTCCATATTCGCTTCGATCGTGTAGCTCTCCGTTCCATCCGCCGTGCCATTGTGAATGACGCTGAATTGCTCCCCTTTGCAGCTGCGCTTATCGTGCTGCTTGCTCTTGTCTCGACCCGTTCCTTGAGGTGCCGGCGTCTCAAATTTAGAGACGGAAGCCGACTTCCAAATCTTTTGACCCGTCTTTGGGTTAAAGTACTTGAAAGTGACTTGGATCTGCGGGTACCACAGCCTGGCAGCGCAAAGAGCGAGCGAGCGAGCGAGTGAGCAGAGACGGGTCAGACTGCTTCTGCCTTTGTCACAGGACCATCAAGAGCCGGATCCACTCACCCAATGGCGCTGTGGATGATCTGACTGGTAGCAAAAGCGCCGTCGTCCAGGATGGTGTACCATACCTGCGTCTCGGTGGTGAAGCCACCAGCGCAGGTCCATTCCAAGTCTGATTTCTCTAGCGGGGCAAAGAGTGCATTCTGGGGAGTGTCAGAGATGGCCTTGAAGTTGGGTTGACTGTCCGTTGCGGATGTGTCTGCTCCCGAGCTGCGTGACGCGGCGAGAGGTGTGGGGGAGGCGATGAGGAGCAGCTAGAGCGATCAGCGAGTATGTATGGAGGAAGGAATTGCTAGCTACTCACAGCCATGAGCCCCAGCCAGACATGATGTAGCGATGAGATGAAGAGGTAGCTGGCAGATGGGCAATGCGCTCGAACGAGACGAGGCT